GGGGACGTTTGGCCAGGGATTGCCAGAGGGATGTCTGCCATGACAGCCAAGTGCGCACGGAGAGGTCTGGTCAGGTGGGATCCTGCCTGACCAGGCCACAGAAATTGGGCAAGGCCCAGAAGATTCTGCCTGCCATGGAGGGCGGCTCTAGGCCCTGTAAGGCTTTAATATTGAATGGAAAGTTTCTTATGGAGTCAGAGTCGAGGCATTTCACGGCACTCGCAGGCCCCAGGGCAGGAATGTTCATTTCAGTCTTTGACGCAAACCGTTGGGGGGGGGCTTTGGGGTTGGGCCTCCTTTCCAGCTCTGAAGCCTGGAAGCTGAGCCAAGGCCTGACTGGGGTTTCACAGTGGGGGGGCGGCCCAGTTCGGAGGGGTCTGGGCCTCTCTCCTTGGCTGGCCGCAGCCTCAGGTTAGACACGCTCCAGTGGCCGCGTGTCACGCGGAGAGGGGAAGCCGAGCCCTTCTGCCGTAGGGGAAATTTATGCCCCACAATACGACCTGTTAGGAGGCTGCTCTGCTGTGCTGGCAGCCACTAGGGAGGGAGGCAGGCAGCAGCCTTGGGGTATGCACCTGGCTTGGCTTAATTCTCCTTATGTTGTCTGGAAGCCCAGGAACTGGAGCCGGAACTCTAGGCGCTTCCCGCTGATGGAGACTTTCCCCCAGGAGATTATTCAGACAAATTGTGGCATTTTGCACACGGACCGCGCTCGTCTGCCAGAGAGCTCGAAGTGTTTTCCCATCCCCAGGGTCCTCCCAAGAGACTATTCCTGCCTTCCCCCTTTTAAGACAGGAGAAACCAAGACCCAGAGAGGGTGCAACCTGCCCAGTGTCACCCCACCCAGCTGAGACTCAGTCCAGCCGCATCAAGACTCAAACATTTTGGAGGCTGGAGCACTAGAGACCCACAGAATCGCAGCAAAGTCCATGACAGAGCAGGGAGCTCAGCAGTCCAGCTTCCCAGGTCCGTTCTACAACGTGGCCTCGTTTTAAGCAACACATGCTCAGCTTCACTGTCAGGAGCCACCAGCCACAGCTGGGCCCACAGTGACAATTCAATAACCCAACTAATTGTACCTTGAACCAAAGTGCTAGCGCACGACAGAGCAGCTGGTGAGCAGGGATTTGCTCTGTCAGGTCACTTCCTTTCCCAGCTGGTGGTTTCCAGAGGTGGAGCATTATTACTGCAGACCCCCTTTGGCTAGAATGGAGGAAAGGCCATTTCCAGAATCCAGTCAGTGAGCACCGAATTGTAGTTATGTGACTGACTCGCCATGTGGCCTTCTACTAGCTACCTCGCCTTGCTGTAGCAGCGTCTCCACCTATAAAATGAGGCTAAAGAACTTACCTGCCCACAGTAGGGGCCGATATGGGAATTATTTAACTGAAGCGTGCATTCAGCTTCTAAAAGTGCTTATATATGGAAACAGTTCGCCATTAAGTTGTATGCTAAGCTCAATAATTTACGTCCATCTGAAAAAAAATATCAAGTACCAAATGCAAACTGCAGGAGAGAGCACAGTGTGTAAGTCTCCAGTGCTACACACTATGGCTCCTCTGAGCCAAAGGCCAGCCGCCTTTGTCCATAGAGTCCTTCAGCACCTGAAAGGTTTCACTGCATGGAGAAGGTGGCTGTTGCCGTTGCACAGCACAACTACGCCTCTGCAGACTTGAAAAGTCACCATGAGCTGAGATTTATGCACAACATGAATAACGGCAGCTGACATTGTCCAGTGTTATGGACATCCTCGATTTTTGGTACTTTAATTGCATTTCCCCTCCTCCCCCCGAGTAATATTACAAACCACCCCAACATGTATGTGAACCATAAAGTCATGCAAGTTTCTGTGCTGTCACACACAAATAACCCCATCAGGGTCCAGCTTCACTTTTAATTTCACCTGTCAACATGCTTTATTCCTTTATATAAGTTTCTAAAACCCAGAAACATAGAATTCTAGAACTGGAAGGGACCTCGAGAGGTCATCGAGTCCAATCTCCTGCTCTCATGGCAGGAACAGGAACTGCCTAGATATCTATAGGGATGATCTATCTAACCTGCTCTTAAATGTCTCCAGTGACCGAGATTCCACAACCTCCCTAGGCAATTTATTCCAGAGTTTAACCACCCTGGCTGTGTCTAGACTGGCATGATTTTCCGGAAATGCTTTTAAAGGAAAAGTTTTCCATTAAAAGCATTTTCGGAAAAGAGCATCTAGATTGGCACGGACTCTTTTCTGCAAAAGCACTTTTTGCAGAAAAGCGTCCGTGCCAATCTAGACGCGTTTTTCTGCAAAAAAGCCCTGATCGCCATTTTCGCGATCGGGGCTATTTTGCGGAAAACAAATCTGAGCTGTCTACACTGGCCCTTTTGCGCAAAAGGACTTTTGCCTAAATGGGAGCAGCATAGTATTTCCGCAAGAAGCACTGATTTCTTACAGTAGGAAGTCAGTGCTTTTGCGGAAATTCAAGCGGCCAGTGTAGACAGCTGGCAAGTTTTTCTGGAAAAGTGGCTGATTTTCTGGAAAAACTGGCTAGTCTAGACACAGCCCCTGACAAGAAGTTTTTCCTAATGTTCAACCTAAACCTCCCTTGCTGCAGTTTAAGACCATTGCTTCTTGTCCTAACCTCAGAGGCCAAGGAGAACTATTTTTTTCCCTCCTCCTTGTAACACCCTTTTAGATACTTGAAAACTGCTCTCATGTCTCCGCTCAGTCTTCTCCTTTCCAAACAAAACAATCCCAATTCTTTCAATCTTCCCTCATAGCTCATGTTTTCTAGACCTTTCATCATTTTTGTTGCTCTTCTTTGGACCTTCAAGTTTCTTCATATTTTTCTTGAAATGTGGTGCCCAGAACTGGACAGAATACTCCAAAAGAGACAGAATGTTTTGTTTCATCAACTCCCTTCTTCTCTCCTCTCCAAAAAAGTTCCTGGATTTATTCCCTATTCAAAATCAAACATTGCCCAGTATGCAGAGCCAGGCAGCCATTAGCGATGGTTCAACAAAAAACCAGGCAGAGGGGAAAAGGATGCTAGGCCACCAAGCAGCGAACTCAGATCGGGTGTGAAATCAAGCTCTATGTCAGCCGAGTCCTTGGGAACATCAAGTCAAGGAGCGAATGAGGTGCCATTATATTGAGGTTCTTCTGTTCTTGCCAAACAGTTCCACCGTAAAGTACATGGAGATTCAGAGCATTGTAATAGCCACCTGTCTTCGCTAATCACTTGGCCTGTGAAACAGGTACACAAACACCACGTTGGCTGCAATTCTAGTGCTTTGGGCTAGCCCATGAATACTAGACAAAAGCAGACATCCTTGTGTCTAGCCAGGCCTGTAGAGGTTCCGAGATTTGGAAGAGCCTCTCTCCTGGGGTGTCAATAGGACTGAGCTGGAAACCTCTGGAGAACATGTCATGAGATTTCTGGTGCTTGCTGCTTCTGGTCACCCAGAGCCCCCCTAGTATCTCAGCGTAGCTGCTTGGAGCACAGGAGAAAAGAGCTGGCTGCAAACAGCCTGAGTCAGTTCAGGGTTGGCTCTTATTTGGCTGGGTCTGTCTGTGGAAGGGGTGTGGGACAGGCTCCGTGTGAATGGGAGGATGAGCTGCTGTGGCCATTTGTCATGTGCGTTTGTCTGCAGGGGCATTGCTGGCTTGTCTCAGCCCTCGGGAATGGGGAATCTTCACTTCCTCAAAGCAACAGTACCAGCAAGTGCCTGTCACTCACTTTAACCTTTGCTGCAATTTCTTCCAAGGGCCAGAGATGGAAGGCGACCTCTCCTGCACCTCCAGGGAGGGACTGCGGAGCTGCGAACCCCCGGAGGGAGGCGTGACGGGACCAGCCTGGGGTTCCACTGCAGACCACAGCAGAGGAGGGATGACAGGGCAGGAGCAGCAGGGCTGCACTTCTTCTGGACTCACCAGCACTGCCGCTGAGCCCAACTTCCCCGCCCAGGAAGGACAAGAACCCAAGTGCACTTCGGGAGTCACCAACCCAAGCTTTGCTGGGGATCCTCCACCCTATTCTCCTCCAGACCCAAAGGCTGCTCACATGATGTACCCACCCTTCCCAGCCATCTCAGGACAAGTGCCCATCATGTACCAGCCAGGACTTTTGCAGCAGAATGTACCTCCTGGCTCCTTCCCATACTCTATTGTATGTAACCGGGATGTTTGCTAGTGTATCATTGAATAGTTGTGTAGCCACATGAAATCTTATCGGTTACTCGACCATCCCTGGGTGTGGGGCTGGCAGCCAATGTGATCCAGCCCCCCCCCC